GGTCGAGCACAGGCTTCTACAGGAACGTGGTGAAGATCGAGAAGCACGTGACCTTCAACCAGGTGAAAGGCATCTTCGGCTTCACCGACAGTGACTGCATTGGTGAGAGCCTGTGCCGGCGGCCCTGGGGTTTCAGCTTCTCAGGGGTGTCAGCAGGTGCCCTGGTGGTGCAGGGCATTAGGCATGAGGCTGCTAATTGCAGGGTCAACGGCTCAAAACCACCAGCTGCTCCTCAGGAGAAGGATGAGGCTCTCTGCTCCTGTAGAGGGACAGCCTCAGAGACCCCAGGGCACTTCACCCTGTCCAGTGGGTCACTGGGAGTTAGAATCCACTGGATAGCAGTGAACTTGGGGGGGCGGGGGGGCTCTTGGGTTAATTTTTGGTGGTTTGCTTTTGGCTTGGGTTTTCGAGGTTAGTAGGAGCTCTGGTGGCACTGTGAATTAAGCATTGGCCGACTAACCAAATCTCAGCAGTTTGAACCCACGGGCCACGCCACAAGATCAAAATGAGACAATCTACTTCCGTAAAGAGTTCTGCCTCAGAAGCCCTGGGGGGCTTTTCTGCCGTCCTCTAGGGTCACTTCTGCTGACCTGGGCACACACTGCAGTCACGACCGCAGCCTCGACAAAACCTGCCAAGAGAGTCACAGTGTGTAGTAGCTCCAAGGTGGGACCCACGCGGCCCGGTCGTGGCCGTGGTTTGGTGGGGCCGTGGCCGTGGTGATGTGCAGCCGAGTCGCTCCTGACTCCTGGCCACCCCGTCCAACAGAGCAGAACTGCCCACGGGGCTGGGGAGAGGCCACCACGGCGCCTCCCCCAACGTTCCCTTCGAACACGCACATGCCCATTTTTCATGACAGCGTGGGTAAATGTGGCCAAGTGGGAAAGAGGAAACCAGCCATCATCCCGGTTGTCACTGGACGAGGAGGACCACGCGGGCACTGCGTCCCTTCCTCCTCCTCTCCTGTTGCTGCGTGTTTGTTTTTCTTTTTTAATCCTTTTATCGGGGGCTTGTACAGCTTTTACCATAATCCATACATACATCGATTGTGTCAAGTACATTTGCCATCATCATTTTCAAAACATTTCCTTTCTACTTGAGCTCTCGGTATCGATCGGCTCCTCATTTTCTCCCCTCCCTCATGAACCCTCAATAATTATAGAGTGGTAGTATCTTGTCATGTCTTACACTGACCACTGTCTCCCTCACCCACTTTTCTGTTGTCCGTCCCCCAGGGAGGGGTTACGTGTTGGTCACTGATCGGCTCCCCCTCTGACAGCTCCTCTAACACTGCACACATCGATCGCATCAAGCACATTTGCACATATGTTGCCGTCATCATTTCCAGGACACTTTCAACCCGAGCGCTCAGGGTCAGCTACTCATTTCCCCTCCCTCCTGCGCCCTCCCACCCTGCATTTTCTTGAACGGCTGCTACTGTTCTTTGGGGGCGTTGGACCCCAACGTGAAACCGGCAGGGGGGTGGGGCAGGACCTGGCACGCTTCCTTCTGTGGGTGCAAGGTGGCCAGGTTCCCAGCTGAGCTGGTGGGTGGTGGTGGCTGGTGTCAGGTGTGAGAAGCTTCTCCTCTCTCACAGGGAAGGTCAGCTTCCCCGCCATCCAGGCCGCCCCCTCCTTCAGCAACTCCTTCCCCCAGATCTTTGGGGACAAGACAGATGTCCAGTGCCTCATCCCTTGTGCCATCGACCAGGTCAGTGCAGCCAGCGGTGCCGGGAGGGGTGTGCGGTCTGGGCACGAGCAGGAGCGGTCTCTTGCAGGAAGGGGACAGGCACTCAGGCCCAGCTGCCCACTTCAGAGCCTCTCTCCCTCCAGGACCCTTACTTCCGGATGACCAGGGACGTGGCCCCCAGGATCGGCTACCCCAAGCCCGCCCTGCTGCACTCCACCTTCTTCCCTGCCCTGCAGGGGGCCCAGACCAAAATGAGTGCCAGCGACCCCAACTCCTCCATCTTCCTCATCGACTCGGCCAAGCAGATCAAGAGCAAGGTGAGCTCCGGCCACGGAGACATTCGTGCGCCTGTGCATGCACGAACACGTTCCCGGTAGGCACGATTGAGCTCATGTGCACGGGCACACACTTCAACAGACAGACATGCACACACGGACATTCACACACCAGCACGCAATTACCCAGACGCATTACATGCATTCAGGCACTCCTCATACAGGCACATTCTCACACTCAAATATTCACATACACACGCTAAGACAAGCACATTCACACACAAAACTCACAGGACACATTCCTATGTTCACACACGTGCAGTGTGGCTTGTGTAGGTGCTATTACACAGCAGCGCAGGCCCTGGACTGTGTCAGAACAGTGAGTGTGTTCAGGGTCTAGGTCGTATCCTCGGTCTCTTTCCGTGTGTGTACACGTGTACATTTCTTAGAGACGAGCCTTGCATTCCCCGCCCCACGCCTGGCTACGTCCTGAGCCAACGAGCGCACTTGGGAGGAGGCCCGGTGTTGTCAGTACAGTCTGTTTTCAGGGTGGAGGGTGAGCAGCAGGAGTGACGGGGCAGGGATGGCCCTCTGGGAAGTCCCGAGCTGGCTCTGTGGATGAGGGTCGGCGATCCCCCAGGAAGCACTGTGCCAAGGGGGAGCAGGCATTTGCCCTCTGTGGCTCCCAGAGGGTGGACACAGACTGAGGGCAGCCCAGTCCCACCCGCCAAGCTGCCTGGCTTTTAGTTCTGCGCTGCGCTGCTTTGTGGAAGAGGTTGTAACAGTAGGGCTGGGGACTCTCGGGGGGCCGGAGACCCGAGGGCTGGCGAGCAGCGAGGGTGAGATCAGGCGTCGCAGGAGCAGGCCCGGAGGGACTGTCTGGTTTGTGGGAAGAAGTGGTCACTCTTGTGATTCCTGCCGCCGCCCTGCTCCCCTCACCTGGTGGGGCCCCTGGCCTGCCCTGAGCCCATCCCACCCCCACCCCCACCCAGGAGAGGTGGGGCTGTTCCTGGTGGCACCTGGCCCTGCTCAGTGGGGACCTCACTTGCCAGTCACTTCCCTTCCTCACCTCCCCTGTGGGTCCTGCTGCCCTCCCAAGGGGGGAGGGTAGAGACGGGGCTGAGCCCACACCCTCTGCCCCTGCTCCCAGCCCCACTGGCCAGCAGCACCCAAGGAGAGCTGAGGACATTTGCCCCTATCATCTCTGGGCAGCAGGGATTCAAGGCTGCCGCTGCCTCGCAGGGGCCCTCCACTCTGGTGGGCTCGGCTGACGGGCGTGCGGTCCTCTTGCAGGTCAACAAGCACGCGTTTTCCGGGGGCAGAGACACCGTGGAGGAGCACCGCCAGCACGGCGGCAACTGCGAGGTGGACGTGTCCTTCATGTACCTCACCTTCTT